CATTTCCTCAGCATTAATCCAGTTTTTTGGTTCTCCTTCCAGCCAAACCTTGTCTGAATTAAACCTATTGAACTTTTAATCAAACTATTTATTTTTTAATTGTTTCTGCAATTAAATAGTAAACAAAGTTAGTAGATAAATTAAGTTTTCCCAGAGGCCAATTAACCTACCAGTAGGTTTTGGACAGTTGGAGGGAACCCACATAAACAAAGTGGGAACATACCAACTCCATATAGAGAGGACCACAGGTCTGGGATTAAACCCAGGGCCTCAGCACTGACAGAAATTTCAAGAGCTGCTCACTGTACCACCATGCTGCTCTAGAAACCAGTCAACAAGTTATAAACCATTAACAATTATTATCATGGGTGTGTGTTCCCATATGTTTCTGTATATTATTAACTCTTGTTTTACATGTCATCAATTGTGTGTGGAGACAGCTTTAAGGTCCTCAGCATACGCAAAAATGTGATTTGGTTTCTTTCTCTAGATTAACTGCACCCTTGCATCAGTAGCCAACAATGTGAAACTAATATATCTGCTTTAATCCAGAATCGAGAGCAAGACCATCTAATTCCATGTCTTGTAGCAAAATTGTGTTTCTCCTTACGGGTTTCCAATACAATACATACGCTGACATGGCTACAAAATACCTGACATAACTAGGTTCTAAGGAGGAAGTGCTGCTGAGGCTGGTCACCAAAGCCTATTAACAATTTCAAACTTGTTAAAGTACTTCTTCAGAATCAATGAATTTGTGAACCTATCTGCCAGGTTCCAAAAAGGAAAAAAAATCAAATAAATAAAAAAGATACAAATTTCTTGCAAGTTGAGGAAAAACGGAGTGCCAAGTAGATGTTATGTACTGGTGTGAACCAAAGGCCCAAGCCTGTTCAGTTCATGTTAGTTTAGTAAAATAACATCTTTGCAGCTAGGTCTTCCCAAATATGATGACGAGTAAAAATAAAGCTGATCTGCCTGTGAATTATTACCTTGTCTCTGATCTTTTCCTCTCTGTAAGGGTGGGTTTCTGTCAGAACGTCTTATAATAAAGGAATACTGTAGAACACTGACCAATATTTACTGTTCTCTATACAAAAACCCATTAGTTAATTTGTCTTTTGCTTATTAGTTCCAAAACGCTTAATGATAAAGTTCAAACTACATAGCTAGCGCTATACAAATTTACAAGAAAAGGTACTTTTTTGTTGAATCTGTTATGCTCATTAAGAGGCTAGAGGGTTTCACTTTAAGGGATTTTTGAGCATGTGAAATGTAAATTCTCAAGATGTGATGCTTTTACAAATTCCCAGCTAACAGTAGAATATGTAGATACTCAACCCTAATGAAGTGTTTAATCATTATTCAATCAGCACAGTACAAAATCACTGAGCCCACTAATGCCCACTACAGCTACATTATATTCATAAAAATTAACTGAATTCTTTATATCAGGATCTGAGTTGATCAAGGTGGTGTTGAAGATGACAGCCTATAACCCTTGTAGACCTGGCTCCTGTGAGTGTGTCAGGCAATCTCTGACAGAGCTCTTCTTTTAGAAGCCGGCAAAAGAAAATCTTTAATACTCTGTATGAACAGACATGGGCAGCACAGTGGTGCAGTGGTTGGCATTCTTGCCATGTAGTGATAGGGCTCTGGGTTCAAATCCAGACCTGGGACACTATCTGTGTAGAGTTTGTGTGGGTGTTTCCTCTGGGTGCTCTGGTTTGGTGTGAGCATTCTGAATATATGTCTGCCCTGTGATGGACTGGTACAGTATGTACCCTGCCTTGGTGTGTTTCTCTGGAGAAGGACATTAAAATGCATTCTGGATAATGCCTTCAGATCACCTGAATGCATTATTGTAAATAAATTGCATTTTATGAGATGTGCTGGAACAGGCCCATTTTTGTTAGTCAATGCATATTTTCATCTAGTTTGCAAAATTTAGTTTGCCGAAAAAAATCATTAACAATTAGGTACACCCCTTTGGGTAAATAACAATTGAAACTCCAACTTCTCAAGCTTTTTGCACATATGCATTTCCTGTTTCACCACACTGTTCAGCTGTCGTACTGTTTGCAGTTTAAAAAGTTTTAAAAAGTTTGAGCACTTTAATTGGGAAAATAACCAATTTTGGCAGACATCAGGGTACAGAGGAGTGAGTAAGTGTTCGTATAAACAGTGAGTGTTGCAATGAGCAGCTATTAGCCACAAGTGGGACTAGTAGGGGCAGGGTCAGCTGGCAGTCTCTGACAGAGCTCCTGGGCACTAGACAAAGATGTTTTCTCTCATGTACTACCTACAGTACACCTACTACAGATTAGGTTGTGTCACACAGTAGTTCCCATGAAAATATATTGCTCATGTCTTACTGTATTTGAAACCTTGAAGTTGTTTACAGTATTGATTTAACAAAGGATAGTCACATTTTGGTCTTGGGGTCTTGCTGTGTCTGCTGGTTTTCTAAATGTCTCCTCAAAGCCCCAGCACCTGGAGAGACCAAATTGGTCCAATTAAGGTTAATGAGTTGATTTAAGTGATTATTTGGAATTTAATAAAACAGCACACATACAAGCCCTCAAACACCAGAGCTAGACACTCCAATTGCAAAAGATGTGTCATCAACAAAGGTAAAACAAAGGAAACATTATTTTAAACTGTGGTGCACACATTTGTGCAAAACAAAGGAGAAAGAGATGAATGAGCAATATTGTGCAATGTAACCAATTACACAGACAGCATAGCTTATCGCTCAACACATAAAACTAATTACGATTCCTCTGATGGTAATTGACATTAATGTATTTGCAAAGATGGAAAATGTGTTTGAACAGTATGTTCCATTTCCTCAATTTGTTTTATGATGTAACCAAATCCAGCTTATTGTTAAACATTCTTGTTTGTAGCTACAGAACAATCAGTGTTTTATCTGTTGTTGTACCTGAATCTACCATTATGATTCACCAATTGATTTCCCATTAAACCTAAACAGAGAGTTATAATCTCTGATTATATAATCAAGTGTACAGTATAAGGGGCTATAACTTGGCTCCTTTGGTTTAAAGCTTTTAGTATTTGCCAGTGATGGTCAGGAGCAACACAAAGGCAGCATTTCTGTAATTGAAGAAATTCAATTACAGAATTACAAATACTTGCAATCAATGGCTCTCTAATGAAATGGTAGAAACAAGATGAATGTACTGTATCAACTTGAAAACCTTCCCCACAAACGACAGGATTGTCACATGTACCACCAGAACAAGTAGGCTTTGCTTACCTGACACAGCACTGAAAAGTAACACACTATTCTATATCATGCTCCTCTCATAAAGGATACAAAAGCCACTTCAAAAATTGTTACCAAAAGTCAGAAGACCAATAACTTCTCATTAATACTCCCTTTGACAACACTGTTAGCAATTTAAACTGTGAGGCATGGTAATAAACCCTGGTGAAAAAAAAACCTTGTAGCTGGACCTTTAATATTTAGTACTGAATTAGAATAAAAAGATATTTCCTGAGACCCACGGGAAAATACCCCTGTTGTCAGTTTGCAATAAATGAATTATTTCTCAGCATTTTAAACCTAAATAAAAGTTAAGTCAAATACATGTCGCTTGTTAAAAACATATTATCCTGTGACTGTCAAATTATTCAGATTATCCTGTATAAATTGAGAAAAAATTATAATTTGAATATAATTATCTGTTGTACAGTGGTTAGTATTACTGCCTTGAAGTGTTGGGTTCAGTTCTGGGCCTGGGGTGCTATCTGTGTGGAGTTTGTATATTCTCTGGGTGGAATTTGTGTTAAATTCCACAGATGTTTTCGCCCAGTTTTCTGCTGGAGTCTGCCTATACTGTGTAGCTTCATTGGTGTCTGGAATAAATGGGCCTGGTGTGAGTGTATGTGTGCTTGTGTCTGTGTGTGTCCTGTGACTGGCATTGCGTTGAGGGTGTATCCCCTCTTGTGCCCCTCACTTGCCGGGATAGGCTCCAGTGCCCCTGCAACCCTAAATTGGATGAAACATCATGGATACAGGATGGAAGGATAATGGATTAGGACAAATACAGTCAGCTGGCACACCCTCCCCTTATAGCATAACAGTCTAGCTTTGCTTGTAGTTTTGAATGTTATCAGTATGGTAATATTAAAATTATATCAACTTCTAGTGCCAATATATCATTCTGAAAAATTATACCTATTGCAGCCCTGAATCACCTACCATTGTCAGGGATATTGGGCTGTGAATGTTTGTTTTCTGCTGAAAATCCGCCATCTGTTCTTCCAATAAGCTGCTTGTTGTTTTGGAAAGGGTCAAGGAAACTCAGAGTACAGGCTGCTAGCGTGACTGCCCCCTTGGGGGCAAGCCATTGCATCACAGAGTGCACACATACAGGGACAATTTAGACCCATTTAGAATTAAGAACACACTGAGAACATGCAGACTCCATACAGAAGGCACTGCAGTGGGTAATCAAATCCGTGATCTGAATGCTTGGAGGCAGCATATTCCCTTGTGCTACCTTCCCTCTGAAGATCCCAAAAAAGTCATTTTAATGATTTACTGTGCATTGTCATATGATTAGATCATTTTCTTTCAATTGTCTTCTTTTTGGTACTTTGTATGTTATTTATTCATACATCTAATTCACTCTAAAATACCTCCTATTAATATTTTAACTTGTTTGCCTTTCCTCTTTATCACTCATTGTTTGCCAGATTACTGGTTCCTGATTATATTTTTAGAGAACTGAAAGCTGTAAAACACATTAAGCTTTTCTACTGTGCAGGACCATGTCACTCTTTCCAGTGTAGCTACATAATGCACAGTATTATAAATCTAGATAAATCACATAAGCAAAGTACTTGTCTGGCCTTTCAAACAAATGTGTTCTCAAATGGCGAACATAAGAGGCAGGGCTTTGCATGTCATATACAGTAAGAGATCCTCCCCCTTAACATGCCTCTGAGTTAGAAAGCTTGATATATTTAAAACTGTGTCACTCCCCACTAAGCTGCAGACTAAGAAAAATTAAGAACTTGTTTCTTTCAAAAACAAAGGAGAAAAGCTTCTGGAAATACCAGCTCATCTTGAAGCAAGAAACAAAAGTACACGTTTTGGAAGAAATAACAGAAACAACAAAGGTATGTTAATGCATTTATTTTTTTAAATAATAAGATCACTTAAAGCAGAGGGTGTTAATTCCAGTTCTCTGTCTAGAGTCCTCCTGGGTTTAGAGATATTTACGTTTAACAACTGAACAGCTAATAAAAAACAATTAATTTAAATTCTTAACAAATAATGTGTTCAATTAAGGTCGTAAATTCAATGTTGGAATGAAAACTAGGACTCCAGACTTGAAGGACTGAAATTAACTGCCCCTGTATTAAAATGTCAACTTATGCAACTGTTTACCATAAAACCTGAAGGAAAGGTAATATCACTGAGGGTAAATACTATTTTTAAGCAAGAGTAGATAAAATTATGCAAGCAAGATTTTTTTTTTAATTATCAGCTGCCATAAATGAACATCTGTTTATAACTTACAGTAAAAGTGAATCAAAGATTTGTCTTATAACTGTCAGTAATAAAAAGTATGAAACAGTGGCTGCTGGTTTTTAACAGCATTTGCCATGTGTTTGGGATATATGATCAACTTTGTTGGTGCATTCTTCTCAAAGAGTGCTTGTGGTTATTTAGTGTGGCACAGGTTCTTAAACACTGTCAGCAAACGCTCCATGATATTCCTTGAGATTTCATCTTTTGTACTAACATGCCAAATGTGCAGATTGTTACCTTCCAATATGTTGTAACACGAAGCCAATGATAATATTATGATTTGCCACAGCTGATCCTGCATAAGTACTGTGCTATAACCAACAAAGCACACCTAAAGTGTAGTAAGAATTAAGGAAAGCAGAGTGAAAGCAAGTTAACTTATTGTATGTTTCAGAGCACAACCGTGCCAAATGTACCATATAAATGTTCCAGGCTTAATAATAATAAAAAATAAGAGCAATAACTTTGCATTGGTAAGACAAACTATATTACTGTAATCAAATCCTCAGATTGAAGAACTGTGTCAAAATCTGTTTTCACAGCAAGTGGTGTGTAAATATACCACAGAAAGAATTCCAAAGCAAATGTTTGCTAATCTTCACGTCTTGTTTTTTTGTAACAGTTACTTATGTCTTTATTATTTAGTGTATGTCAGATTTCTGTCTTTCTCTGCCATTACTACCACAACTTCTCAATGAAAGAGATTGATTTTTCTTAAGAAAAACTCTGCCCTTATACTTTGTGACAGTGCTGTGCTGTCCTCTTTCAGCCTTAAAATGTGGTTAACGTGACTTTTATGTTATATGATTACTTGTTTTTGTCACTTCAGGTAAGTATAGAAAATCAACAAAGCCTTCTTACACAATATGAAGGGAAATCACTCTCAGGTCTCAGAACTAGATATTTCTAGCAATTTCCCAAAACTGACAGTTACATGATTAGTTTTCATTACTCGAAGGGGGTTGATAAAAAGACGATTGATACAATCAGTAGATATTATTTTGTTATCAATCATGTTATTTTGTCCAGGACATTTCAGTATACAATAAGGAGCACATTATAAACAATCACAGAAATTTTGTATTGGAATGTTAAAGACACAACGATTAAATATTGGCATCAACTGCCGGAAGGTATAAACAAATCAACTTGGAAAATCTGAGGTTATTGCAGTCCTGAAGCAACGTCCCATTGCTGACAAACAAAACTGTGATTTGTTTATTTATTTATTATATAAAATAAAAAAACAGCAATATCCGAATGCCCATGTTTGCTATGATGTTATACAAATGCAAGGAATTACTAATTATTACTAATTCTTTACACACTGGGTCCGTCTAGATAGCTCTAGTCTATGATTCAGTTCATGTTCTGGATTACATAAATCTCTTAAAATGAAAGAGTACTGATTGTAACAAAAGTGGATTGTATGCATTGTGATTGGGCAATGTATAATGTATATTCTGGCCAATTCTAGCAGATGACAATAAAGTGACTAAAATGAATATAGCAATTCAGTCTAAAAGAAATGATAAAAAGATCTGTCAGTACTACAACATCAAAAGTAGAGCAGCAGATGTAAAATGTATATAGGACAATAACTTCTAAACTTCTAAACAATGAGAGGAAAGTGGCTATAATGAGTATTTTACATAGGTATTCATTAAGGAAGTTAATAACATGCCTCTGGCAGCAGAAGAACAAACATCTGTATTAATTAGTATAAGCTGAGAAGAGAAAGGTGTTTAGGGTAATAGGAGAACTCTAGATTAATAAATCTCCAGTGTATCCTGCTAATTGAATTTAAGGAAACAAGAGATGTCATGCATAAGCAAGTTCCCATCCATAAAAAGGTGACAAAACTTAACCAGTTTCACCAATAATTCTGAATTCTGTTACATGTAAGGTTTGGAAACACAAATTAGAACTCAAATTAAAAAGAAGATCAGATATATGCAAATAAGATCTTAGAGGACGGACAACATTAATTTAGAAAAGGTAAGTCGTGCTTTAATAACTAGTTGTACTTCTTTGAACAAACAACAGTAGGAATGAAAATACACTAAACATGCGATATAGTTTGTTTATTTAATTCCTGATTTTCAGAAGGTTTTTGATAACTTTCCTCAAAAAAACATTTTCAAATTACAGATGGGAGGCATTCTGAGAAATGTGAGGGGGTTGAAAATTGATTGATTAATAGAAAACAAAGAGTACAGATAAAAGGTGAATGCTAAAACTGGGATGATGTAAATAATGGAGTAATATAGGGATTATCATAAGACCACTGCTGTTCCTAGTTCAAAACATTGATCAAGACTTTGGTATAGTTTGTAAACTAGTTGGTTAGGTTTTCAGATGATACCAAAATAGGATGATTAGTAAAAACTGTACCGCAGCAAATGAAATAAAAATAGATACAATTCAAGATTGGGAGCATAACAGGCAGGCAGCAAAGCCATTAGCTATAAATACAAAGTGGGAAATGCTACATGTGAACAGGCTACTCGTGTAACAAGATGCAGGTGTTTACAGTATGGTGAAGCACAATTAACATAAGGTAGATAGATTTAAGGAAATGATGAGGGGAAGTAATTTAAAAGACCAGACAATAAAAAGGATGGGTTGTCAAAATAGTAGAAGTTAAATCAAGGGATGTTATGTTAAAAGTCCTCATTTAGAATACTGTGAACTATTTTAGTCATGGACTATGTTACAAAAACGATATTGATGCTGTGGAATCCATCCAGGGAAGAGCAACCTGTTAGTCTGAGGTTTTGTTGACCTTAAAGCATATTCACCCCCTCTACTTAATCAAAATACCTTCTCTCAACAACCTCCGCCTGAGAACCTGGCACAATTCCACAAACCTGGCCAACATTCAACTCTATATGGAGTTCTCATTTTTCAGTTCATGTCAGATATTCAAAACTCAATAGATGTTTTGTTTTTTTTTTGCATTAAATTGAAAATGCTGTTGTAATATAATGTTTAAATGCGACATTTCCAGATGGATACATCAGTGTATTGTTTTGCTTATTTTTAAAATGAATGATTGTTTGGTTGGATAAATCATTTATTTTTTTCCATTCTCAGTTTGAAAGATTGTGAAAGTGGCTACTAAATCAATTCGAGTGCAAGGTTATATGTGAATAGATGTTATTTTTTGTCAGCATAAAAAGTTTTTGCAACTCTACTATACTTAGAATATTCTCATATCTGCTTATGAATGTTAATATATTATACCTTCCTTCTAGAAATATTTCTAAAGTTTCTATGATTTTTTCCCCTGAAGATACATTCCTCAAAAGCAACATGAACTTTTCCTGTCTTTGAAAAGCAATACTGTATGTCCCCCTGTGCTCAAACTCTTAAGTCCTGTGCAAACAGCCATAGAAGGGGTGATGACTCCTACAAAAAATCAGATTCAATCTCTACATTATGTCTGTGGATAACTGAGTTGTTAAAATAGAGCTGTGGTTGTTGTGGATCAAGTACAGTAACTCTAAGGGCAATTTTACAGTCCAAGCAGGTCTCATTTAAAGGCCTTTATTTTATCTCTATTGATGAAAACATGTTTTATTCAAGTCTTCACATTATTGTGATTCTTGATCTTTTAAATACTTCTTAGACTTTCGCTGCTGCTGGACAAATGATCCAATGATTGGACAAATGATGACCAATTATTTGGCATTGTATCATTACTGCACCCCCCATCCTTTTGAATGGAAACCAGGGATTTAACCTTCATACTGTAACGGGATGAACACCTGAATTTGTTGCGTCAAAGGGAGACTGATTCTTCATAAAATTCCCCCCTGTATTTTGTTGTCCAACACCTATAAGACAGGTCGTAGAAAACAACAATATGAAAAAAATTGCAAAAAAGTCAACTTGTCTGTCAATGTGGATCTTCAATCAGGCACTGTTCTACTCGTTGTGACATTTTTGGGTTCAGAAGACCTTACTATACACCTAGATACAATCTATGGTGCAATCTAAGGTTAGCGCAAAGAAAATAATCAGAATTCCTCAATACAATTCATTCAGATTTACCAATTTCCTGTTCCATTATACTTTGTAAGGTCTTTTTAATAATCCTAAACACAGCCATGGCCAACCTCCTGTGTTACTTTAAATGCCAAGACCGAAACAAAGAACAAAGACCAAAAATATACAGTTTTTAAACACAGAATGTTAAAAGGCATACATGCTATAGAAATGTTTAAACACCAAAACAAAATGCACAATATAATATGCGAGAATATCACAAATTATTTCAGTCAGCCGAACTTGTCACTGCCAGAGTCAAAACAGGTCTGCTGTCCACCTTATTTGCCTGCTTTCTTAACATTAAGGAACCATTCCTAAATGAATTTTACAGATCCTTTTAAAAACAGTATTTCCATTTTTAACCAACAAAGTATTTTCATACTAATGTCAATGAACATACTAATAAAGAAATCAAAGAGATGTATCAGCACTTCTTTCTGAAAATGTTAAAGTACCTCATAATTAAAAGTTTTAGTATGAAAAGTGCTTTTTGTGTGCCGTTCATTTTACTTATTTTTTTTTGTTCTTGACTGCTGTAGTAAACCCACCTACAGTATAAGTGGTCATTAACATTATCTGCATAGCCATATATCATTATTGGCACATATAAATTGCACTTATTTTTTATTTTATTAATCACACCTTAAGTTTGCAATTAATTTTGTCAGCAGTACTCTGTGTTTACTGTATGTTTTGAAGTTCTCAATCCATACATACATTTCCCTAAATACTTCAGCCTTCCACTTGAGAGTTGATCAACTATTTGGAGCTTTCTCAAGTTAAGGTTAAAGTTAAAGTAGGGTTAAAGATTTGACATAATTCTAGTCAAATTCACTGCAAGTAAAATAACTTTAGACAAGACAAATATCATGAGCATTCCAGTTCGAGAAAGATAAATTAAAATTGACATTCAATCACTGAACACCCTAACATGAACAGTATAAATAATACAAAAACGTTTTCTCTAGTTCGGACTGTTTAAAGTTTAAAGTTTGGCAGTATTTCATGTATTTCTTTCCCATTCATTCCAAAAACACACATCTAACAGAAACCTCTCCTTTGGGATTTGTGAGCAGAATTATCACCAAACTCAACAGACTGTTTAAAAACATCCTAAAGCTCCCAAAAGTCAATCTCTTCCACCCTTAAGCCCAGATAAAAACAAATTAATATGTCACTAGGGTTTCCTGTATTCCCACAAAAGAGATACTATGAGACCAAAATTTTGTAAACTGCTATCAAACTGCTATCAAACAGATATCAAGAAAAATCTTACTTTACATGTTCCTAGTGCTAATGTCCATATTCCCAGTGTTGGACTATGGTCATTAAATAAAGTTGTTTCCAAAATAATCTGTTATCTTCTTGGGGAAAATTGGTGTTTTATGTCAAGAGTGACCAAACCTGAAACCAGAGAGAAAAACAATCCAGCAAGTTCCTTTAAGTCAATTCCCAAACACCTGGGACAAGTTCATTTTGACTGCTGAAGGAAATGATTAAAGTAATTTAGAGATCTTCTGAAATTAATATATCAACACCCTGTAGCATCTAAGGATCATAGTAGAACATTCCTGACTTAATTGAACTAATCACCTTACAAATCTGATAAAAACTCATTGTACTTCAAAGGCAGAAAATTTAAGGCTGACCTATGAAATCTATGTTATTGTGGTGCTTAAGAAACAGGGACAACTATTCTTGTTTTATAACATTCTACTAAAAGATTTGTCACTTGTGCTGCAAATTGAACTCATCATAGTGATATCTCCTCTCTGATTGGCTCATTCTGCACAGCATACAAATACTTTAATGAAGTTAATTTACATATCTTTAATGGGGAAAACACCTTCCTGCCTTCAAAATATATTGCACTTTTCTGTGCTATGTAACAAGAAGTATTCTTTATCAGATTAAACCTTCCTGGAATAACTACCATCTTTAGGCACAAGTCATTTTACTTTGCAGCTGCAATAACTGGAAAATTCCATAAAGTAACTATCCACTCTTATATTTGAGGATATTTTCATTTTATGATTTAATATATTGTTTCTGACACTTCCATCGCCATGTTCTGTTATGCTATTTTATAGATTTCTCTTTCCTTTATATTAGCGTTGTATTTTTGGTGCAACTATGGTAAGGTCTCTTGTCCAGCCCTTCAATGTAAATGAGAATTTGTTTTCAACAGACATATCTGGTTGAATAAGGGATTATTATTACATACATGGAACAAAGCATTCAATCAACAAAGTTTAATGACTACAATATCAACAATGAGCAACAATTCAAATATCTTCAGAATTAAATTAGTCAGGCAGATGTTACCTTGTTGGCATTGTCACTGACAATTAAACAAAAATCATAAAGACATTTGCATCCAGCCTATACTGCTATTGCAGTTCTGTAATCAGCATTTGTATAGTTGTAGAAAGATTTTCAACATACAAACACTACAATCTGAAACAATAATGCATAATGTAGCATAAAACCCCAAGCTGATACAAAACAAAAAGGACAGGCATATTAAATGTTAATTGTGGGAAAATCACATTACAATGCAAATCTGTAAGTGTCACAAATGGTATTTATAATGATGATGAAAAATAATAAATGCTTTTCAAAATTCCAAAGTTCAAATCTTCGTTATATTATAAGCCAACAAGTCCAAACAAACTCTTTTCCTGTTTTTCTGTTGTAACGAAGGGCTGGTAGATGCATGTTCAGCTTTTCATAAACCTCTTACTTGTTCACCTGTTGTCCTTGTCATCCTGGACTAAAAAAAAACATTTCCTTAAACTTTTGAATGCCATATATTGTTGTAAACAAAATTAATCTATGCATTAGTTGTTTGTATCTGTCTCACCTGTGGTGTATCCATAGTCTTGTCCTTATCTAATTGTTCCACCATTTTGTTTTAAAGTTACAGAACCTGACTCACCTCTGGTTTAAATGGCGGATTACTAGGGCATCAAAAGGAGTGGAGGGTGGGGCTTAGGGTATTTTACCTGCCTCTCACGGTGCACTCAAGATCTCCTTTAATCTTGTCTGAGTGTAGCAAACTTGTCTGTGTGACTGTAACATAGCCTGGTATTTGTAAGTTTGCTTGGAACTTCCTAGCATGAATTTCCTTGGAAAGAAAATGAAGTTTAGTATTAAGTAAGTACTAAGTATAGTATAGTATTATTAAGTTTAGTATTTAATGTTTTGAAAGAGATTTACTCTAGATTTACTATCACATTTTTTTCCACAAGTTTCTATTTAGGCAGCTCTTAAATGTCTTATTCAAACTAAAGAATTATAATCAACTCTCTCTTGTACCCAAATAAACAGTGTACAAGAAACGTATGACAATATATTGTGAAATATAGGAAGGGTTTTTAAAGATACCCTACCCTGGTCACCAACCCTTCTTCTCTCTTTATACAGGCAATGTATCTGACTACAGCAGAACCAGAAAACCAAACAGCTGAACCTTGCAACTGCTCCATTGAAGTCTTCAAACATGATGTGTTCCCTGCCACCTACCTGGGTATCTTCATCCTGGGCCTTGTTGGGAATGTTGTTTCATTATTTGTCTTTGTGAGGATGTGTAAAAAATGGACGTCCATCAATATGTACATGATGAACTTGCTGATCTCGGATCTGATGTTTGTGTGCTCCCTGCCTTTCCGTGTGGTGTACTACATGATGGACTCCCACTGGGTGTTTGGAGATATTGCTTGCCGCCTTATATCCTATGTATTCTATATCAACATGTACTGTAGCATCTACTTCCTGATGGTGCTAAGCATCATGCGCTACCTGGCCATAGTTAAGCCTTACAAGTATGTCAAGCTGCAGAACAGCAAAAGCGCCAAGCTTGTCTGCATTGTGGTGTGGCTTTTTGTGGCCCTGGCCTCCATCCCGCTGCTCACTTCTGGCAGTGAGGACTATAAAGGCAAAACAAAATGCCTAGAACTGGGGACTAAAGAGATCAGAATCTTAATTGGGATGAATTACATGGTAGCCTTCCTGGGATTTGTCGTCCCCTTTGCCATCATCTCTTTCTGCTACTTCCATGTGGTGAAAAACCTACTGAAGTCCAAGGATACACAGAGGAACAAGCAGTCCTTCAGAAAGTCCACTGCCTTGGTCATCATTGTCATCAGCATTTTCTTGATTTGCTTCCTGCCCTACCATGTGGTCAGGACATTGTTCCTGGAAGCCGAGAGGCAGGCCAGCCTCCACTGTGAGTCCTGTGATTACATTAATGGAATGCGCAAAGCCGCTGTCCTCACTCTCTGCCTCGCTGCCTCCAACAGCTGTTTGGACCCTCTCTTGTTTTGTTTCGTGGGGGAGAACTTCAGGCTGTGGTGGAGAAAGAAGAAACACAAAAATGAGCTGAAAGACCTGGATCCAAAATAACCACAGTGAGGGCTCAATGTGAGATCCTCACACACCTATGCTTAAGTGCTCTGTTCCTGCTCTAACCTTTTCGGAAAGCTGAGCACATGCAAAGCTAACTGGAAGGCCTCCTTAACTGTGCCATGTGACATTGTTGAAACAGGTATTTTTTGTGTGTTTTACTAAAGAAATAGAACACTAGTTACCCAAAGAAACACAATAAACTGGCCACAAATATGACATTTCTGTTTTTTCATGTTTATAAAAAATCATAAAGGCATGGCTAGTTTTGTATGAGGACCTGGAGAGACTTACAAACATATCACCCTTTGGGTATATACAGCAAAAATATGTACACAGCAGAGCACTTTCCAATATCGCTTTATAATGAAATAATAAAGGACAAATAACCAGTTAACAAATTGCTTCAGGTCAATTTCCCAGATTGTTTGCACTGGAGAAAATGTTTTATAATATTTACTGTATGTTTCGCAGAATGATGGGTGATCATTTTGCCAAAAATATGCATTGTTACAGAAATTCAGTGACAACTTGCAAATGAAACTTGCTTTTCTAGACTAACAACCTTTCCCTGTAGTTGGACTGTAGTGCATATAATAATTTACTCATATTGTTTATGATTTCCAATTAATCCAGAAGTGTAATACAATAAGTTAATTGATAACAGCTGTACTATGTTCACTGTTGAGAAAAAACTGAGTTTCTTACACATTTGATAAATTCAGTTGTGGTTTAAGGGCCATTTGACAAACTCAAAAAGCAGCACACATCTTGATATTGTGCAGCTGGGCTGGGAGATATGAATTTGTGACGTCAAGTGGTCTTGTATAATAAGTTCTCAGAATTTAACCATTTGGTTCCTTCTATGTGATAATATGCAAGGTAGAAAATAAGGTGATAAGGTAGAAAAATACTGCAAAGCAGCAAAGACAACAAAAAAAACTGCTTAGTTCACTTGAGAATTTCATCTACAGTGAAGAAAGAGATAAGATGTGAAAAAGGGGTTAACTGATTTCTTCCTGCACAAAGACTTCTTGTGAAACAAGACATTCCATGCTTGAATTAGCACTTTTGAGTTATGGCAGCGATGTGAGCTAACTGATAAGAGATTCCAAGTGCAAAATTGAGACTCCCTAACTAAGGAAAGATAAAACCGGCCATTCAAAGTGGTCAAGCTCTTGGGAATGTCCAAACACAGGTGACCTCCCACCATAACCAAAGTAACAATTTGCATCAGAAACGGCTGAAGTTTGCTATATAAACTGGAAGTTTTGTACCTATATTCCGAACAATATTTTGATCTTATTGTTCCTTGTGTGCAATAAACTCAGTTGTTTAAACTTCATCTCTATAACAACAGTATAAATAAAAGACAGAAATGTATATAGACATGACCAGGAAATCAATCTGTGAAAAGCTAAAAAAAAAGTGAATGTTTTTGGTTGTCTGCTGAAACAAGCCTAAAAAAATGAAGATTGGGGGTTTTGCACTAATTACACTGTCATTTCCTCTTCCTGATGTGTCACATGCATTACCAACTCATATCAGTAATCTTTACATTCATTATCTTATTTTAAATCTGTATCTACATATTATCTAAACTGACAGTTTTGAGTTTTTAAACATGAGTGTGTTTTTCTTGGGAATTTACCATGAGCTATGATAGAATCCTTTGTTTGAAAAAGACAGCATGCTACTTCTGCTTTTTCGTGACTGTGTGAACAATGAACACATTCCTGCGTTATTTACTGTTTTGCCTCTTACTGGACTCAAAAGGGATCTGTTCATTTGTTAGGGGGTCTGGCAATTCCCTCTTATTTGGATTCTTTAACAAAAGAAATACTACCTTTCCAACAATGGAGAATGAGACGACAACTATTGACTGAAAGCTACAGGTGGTAAGAAAACGCCTGACATTATCATGTTCATAATCCCTTGTATTTATATAATGCTTCATTCCTAAGGATCCCTGAACATTTTTCATATGTAAGGGGATCCACTTCTTTTACTACTTTACTGCAACAGCCACCTGGGTGATGTGTAGCTGCCATTGTGCACCAGTAGCCCCACTACTCAGCAGTGCATTTAGAGAAATAACACTTTACTTCTGGTTATAGTACTTCTATTGTACACAGATACACATTGTACTTCCCTTTAAAGTTTTCTGTCCCTGTGCTGACCAGGCCCAGGCTTGCTTAGTTTCCAATATCTGTTAAATTGAACACAAGAGGTTCTCTGCGGGAAACAATTTAGTGGCGTACATAGCTGAAAAACAGAAGAATTCAATCTTTTTTCTGGTTTTCACTGTAAAAATGGCTCAACAAACTATGTGCAACAAACTATGTCCTGGTGCTGAGTGACATCTCTATACATTGTACTTGTAGAGTTGAGAGCTGGCACTCCACTGAAGGCTTCTTTGTATCTGACTGTTTATTACACCTACTGTATGGGAGCAAATGGCAACTTGCAAGGTGGTGTGTTTGCAAACATACAGACAGGCCCCAGCACACTCTTTGTGAACCCGTCTGTACATGATTTCTCTCTCACTCATACTTAGACTACAATGGTTTCTTACATTCTACTACTTTTTTTCACATATTGTTTTCTTACCTCAGTGTCATGCATATCACACACCATTCCAAACACAGTTAACACAAACTTCAATTTTCCTTTTTTCGTTCAATTTCAATACAGGCAGAGTCTCCTTTTCTTTCCAATTGTCTCATGATTGCAGTGCACCTGTTCTCTGGCAGATGGCCCTTCTTGTGGCAAATGTGATTCAAACACAATGAAAAATAAGAAATAAATCAAACCAGATGATTAGGATTAGATTTCTTTGGTTGAAATCTTTTTGTTTTCTCCTGAATGCTCACTAAATCATGCATCTCTCTCTCCTTTTGCTGTTTAAACTGATATTTAGTTGCTGTCTTAGTTGCTGTCCCTAGCTACTGAAGATACGGGAGTTTAAGTCAGACCACACAGAGACAACAGAGACAGCAGAATGGAGTTTATTGGCTTTGTTTAGTTACAAAATAACAACTGGATGTTCATGTAAGAATTTCAATTAGTTTTCATGTGATTTCAGATGGGGCTTGTGAGTGAAACTAGAATAAATTGCCCAAAACTACAGATACCTTCTCCAAGGCCACCTTCCCTAACTCCTCCATGACCACTGCTTTTCCCAGAGTATTCCAAATGCCATTGCTTAGCAACTAAGGTACAGGCCCACTTCTTCAATCCTTGTCTTCCTAGCAACCATGAAGGGTCTCACTCACAGACCCATATCCCCCTCTCAGGCCCGACTTTTGCTTCTAGTCTCTTTTTCTTCACTGTGTAACCCATTATATTAGCTACTGCTGTATCTACACATTGCAAGAGAAATCCACTTAACATTGAACGTCCAATATTTCAATAAAAAGTGATGCATTTACACACGGAGATTGGTCATGCAATCACATAATAAAATACTATTCAGTTAACAGGAACGAAACAGCAAATTACATATAATATTTCTTTAGTACAAAACATAAAACAACTACACCTTATTTTGTTGCCAGTTATAATTACAATACAAGATGATTTTCTGAAGGAAAACTTCCCCTGATCAGTTAAATCACAAAGACGTACACCATTACCATTAACATATTATGGTAATAACCTTTAGATCTGATTAGCTTGTTCAGCCTGTCTGAACATTCTGTACCAAAAGATGTGGCAAGTATTAGATCATTTAAAGACCTGAACAGGAACAGATTGTTTCTTTTACTGTTCTGTCTTTATACCAGCTTTTAAATTGACCTATTTTGTCTGTATGTTGCATTCAGCCAAAACATTCATGATGCTACCAAATTAAAATATAAAAGAAATCCTGTTACCTTGTCCTTGGGACAGAAAGACAGAAGGAATACCAGAGATGATATAATATAACCAGACAATTTCCAGATACAGCATTTGCATTTTTTTATTTTATGATTGTGTGGCACCAAAGGTAACCATAAATAAATACATATTTTCATTGTTGTAGTTTCTTTACAGTTAACAAGTTATTTACTTTGTGCTGAAAGTTGTATAGATAACAAAGCTTGCTAGGATTTATAGTACCTTTTAATACTGCTTTTCTTAAATATACTGTTTATAGTGCTATTTACCTTTAGGTTTTGTTTAGAAAAGTGTTGTAAAACAGTACAGCCCAAATTCTAATGAATATTGATATAAGGAATCCAGAGCAAACAAAGACAGGGAACCACACTATAATTTTTCTGTTTTCCATGGTACACTACAGTATATATTTAAAATGCAAAATTAATATAAAGTCTGCAACTTCATCAGAAACATCAGTTTACAACTTCAAAAACTTTGAATCTCACAAATGCTGATAAATACAAAACAAGGAAATAACTATTTTGTATCTGTACATTCTGTGGTTGTCTTGTGTTTTGGAGATAAGAAGATAGCTAAAAGACTTCCCACAGGGTGCTTAGGTTGCAAATACCTAATGGTTTATAGGGAAGTTTGATATACCTTTTAAACATTGTGTTCCTGTCAGCTGTTATTACATAACACAGATGATTCTAGAAAGGGCAGCTTAAGGAATGAGAGTCGAATAAAAAGTACACTATAAATTAATACTCTCCCATTAAATAGTTTAGTTTTCACTTACCTCTGAAGACAAACTGTTGCATTAGCATTCCATCCTGACATACCACTGCAGATTAATCTACTGCAGGGGTCTCTAGTCCTGGTCCTGCATGACTCCAATCAAGCAAGTCTTATAAGTCATCTTAATCACTTATCTGAAGAGTGGGAATGCTTGTAAGTTTCTGCAGTAATGTGCTAGGTTAAGGAAACACTTTAAAAAATTGTTAAATTAATTTAGAAATAATTTGGAATTGTTTCTTTAGAAAGTTGAGATTTATTGGATACCTAGAAGACATATTGGACTGAGGCTCTCCAAGAACCAGGGAGGAGATTCTTGCTGGCTCCACCGGCTCCCAGTTCATTATGTCTCTCACTATCCATCATCGTCTGTGCTCATCTTCAACGGGCTACGTACAGTAATGGTACTTTTCTTTTACAGTCCTACTTCTTGTTCCTTCCCACTATGAGCTGCAGACAATTTTGCTGTGAACCTCAGAATGGCAATGTCTCTGTCCACTTTTTGGAAACTCTTCAAGAGTCACTTATTCAGGCCTTAGCATTTAAGGTATTCATTTATTGCTCTGCCTTGATACTTGTAAGCTGCCAACTACTGACACATGACAGATGTTGTCTAGTACAGAAATGTTTTGGTCTGCTGTAAGCCTAGAGTTGCAATTTACCCTCATAACTGCAGGCCTCTTTGGTTTTGCACAGCTTTATTTCTTAAGTTATTATATTAGGTTTTTTTTTGTATCATTTAGTTTGTTAGTCTGCTCTAGGCAGCATTCATTTCATATTGTAACGCAACGGGGGCTCAGGCGGGCGCCCTTGCCGCATCTGGTCGGCCCCATCCCGACTGGGGCTCGAACCCGGGACTTCCGCGTCTCTCTGCAGCGACCTAGCCCCGTGAGCTAAAGAGAGATCTCTCTACAGCCCAGTAGCTGTAGTCCTGCTATCACAGGGAAGGGCGGTGACGTCACCTGCTCTGGTACGCCGGCTCTTACACAGTGCCTGTCGGCCGTAAGCGTTACAATATAATGCTGTTTTGTTCATTTTAATTTGCCCTGGATGAACCATTCAGCAAATATGACATATGATATTACTAATCTAATTTTACATTCATGCAATAAATTGCATACCGTGTGACATACTTGCTCATTTCCTTCATTAATTAAGCTTGCATTATGTGCTAGAATACTCAACAATCTTGTATTCAAATTGCTGGTTATGCTTTACCCTGTGCTTACAATGGAGGTCAGAGTCCCATTTGATTAAGCTTTGTATTCTTCAGCAACAGTAAATGAATACTCAGGAATCTGCCACACACACACCTACCTATCTATCAATTGAATTATCTGTACACATGATGACCGTTGTTCCAACACCACATGGATCTGTAAAAGGCTGCTCACTGTGGTTCAGAGTTCCGAGCATCACTCCTCAGACAGGACTAGATTACACTGTGCTGAAAGGCCAGGCCTCTTGCTGCAGAAGCCACTAGCTGGGTTTCAAGGTAGTAAAAAGCAGTAATTATCTTCTGTCATACAATAGGCACAGTGCCAAATGGGCCCTATTACACACACACATTCCTCTGTCCCAAGACAAGAAGAAACAAGAGTTGACAGAGAAATATTGCCAGCAACATTAATTAAATGTATAAACATCCAAATCTGATAGAGTTTTCCTGAAACACTAATGAAGTTTGACGTGGAGAACTGGAAATATTTCAGTAAGAGATAAAGGAAACAC